TTTTTTGTTTTTTGCATTTTTCTTCATGAAAAGAACACTAAACAACATGATTTCAACAGATTTAGAAAGCTAAGAGAAGGGGCTACAACTATTGTATCGTGGGAAATTTCTCCCAAAAAGGAAGGTACATGCCCTAAAAGGGTAATTGACACTGACAGACTACAAAAGTAATTTATAGCCTACAAAGTTTACTAATAGACTACAAAAAAGACTACAAAAGTTGGACATAGACCACAAAGGTCAGTCAAAGACTACAAAAATTAGTAGTGTCTGCTTTTCTCATTACAAAAGTAATAGTGTCCGCTTTTTGAGACTACAAAAATTAGTAGTGTCTGTCTTTTCAGACTACAATGGTTTGTAGTGTCCGCTTTTTGAGACTACAAAAGTTAGTAGTGTCTGCTTTTTCAGACCACAATGGTTTGTAGTGTCCGCTTTTTTCATTATAAAAGTTAATAGTGTCCACTTTTTGAGACTACAATGGTTTGTAGTGTCCGCTTTTTGAGACTACAAAAGTTAGTAGTGTCTGCTTTTTCAGACTACAATGGTTTGTAGAGTCCGCTTTGTTCATTATAAAAGTTAATAGTGTCCACTTTTTGAGACTACAATGGTTTGTAGTGTCCGCTTTTTTCATTACAAAAGTTAATTGTGTCCACTTTTCTGACATATAGTATGTAGTGTGGTTAGCTATATATATATAGGTCATTGGGGATATGATTGAAGGATTGGGATGAGTTGACATTCTGCCACTTATGAATAGTTGCTTTTGATGTCAGGTCCATGGCTGTTTTCCACACTAAGCCACTATCCTATCTTTGATGTTGGTTAACCTTCCACTCAGATCAGTATCCGCTGTCCTATGTCTGACCACAGTCAATCTTCACATGATTTTTTTGGAGTGATAAATTCTCTGTGCTACCAATGCAACTTGTCATGTCTTTCAATACCAAGACCAGTTGTCATTCTCCAAGCCTTCACCACTGGGGTCAGCCTTGAGTAGATTGATTTAAAGGTACCAAAAGTGAGTTAAATATGTGGTTGGTCCTGTCTGTTTTTCAATGTCTATCCAGGATTCATGTGAAGCACACCCTTTGATTAGACAGGATAGTGACTTCTCATATGAAAAGACCTCACAGATTGCAAGTATAAAAAGCAGCCATGGACCTGACATCAAAAGCAACTATTCATAAGTGGCAGAATGTCAACTCA